TGTGTGAAGAGCCCCCTGTCACCATTCTGCTGGAGAAAATGTGGGAAAATAGGCGGCCACACACATATTCTGGGACTGTCCAGTTATTGAAACATTTTGGAAAGACATCAAGGTGGAACTAGAAGTTATATTAGAAACAAAAGTCCCATCAAGGCCTCTGTTTTACTTACTGGGGGTTATACCATGCAAAGAGGGTAACGCTGATCAAAAATTTATTATAAGAATGTTATTATTGGCAACAAAAAAAAGCTATAACAGCAAGATGGGAAGATCCCCCCCCCCCCCCCCCCCAAAAAAAAAAAAAAACCTAGCAGAACGGAAACAGAGGGTTCAACAAAAATACATGATGGAACATCTGACCTCCATTCTACAAATGAATATTGGTCTTTTTAATCTTACATGGCATTGTGTTGAAGAGCATTTAGCAATCAGACACGCAGAGATGCTTTCATTTGGCGCAGATTTTTTTTTATTTTATTCCATTTTAAATCTCCCTTTAAAAACAAAGTGGAAGACAACAAAGAAAGCCTGCAGCAGGGGCGGATTTAGGACTGAAGAAGATCTGGGACTTAACACACACACACACACACGTGCGCGCACACAGACACGTGACACGCACTAGTCAACATCATATTTGTCTTGTACCACATAATTTTTAATCTGAAGCTACATATTAAGCATTTTCAGGGCAGAGTATTGTTCCTGTTAGTGTTTAGTGTGAGATGATAGTAAATATTCCCTTTCTTTCTCCAACAACTTTACCTGATAGTAAGCTAGCTTTAGGCAAACCAGCAGCACAACAAATATTTTCTAATAAGACTCACAAACCTGAGTCAACACCAGTCTCATCAAAGCTGGGGTTCTGTCGCCGTACTTTTGGTCTAAAAAAACGTCCTTATGTCCATCTTCACTCATGCGTTTCAGGCAGAGAGTGCAGAAGAAGCCGGCTGCTGAAGGGCTTCTTCTTCAGTGGTGGAGGCTCAGGCAGGCTGTATACAAACTACTGCCAGCTGCTCCCTCTCTGTTGGACTTTGGTACTGCATGTTACTTCCGTGATTTAGATCCAGGGCTTTTCATGAAACATCCGGGGCTTCAGCCCAAGTAGCCGGGCCTAACGCCGCCCCTGGCCTGCAGCAACTCAGTTATTGGTAAATGCCAAAACATAGAGATGCAATTTTAGACATACTTCAAAAGAGGCCAAGCATTCAGCTGTCTCCACATCCAGACGTAAACTGCTCCACAAGACACGAGCCATCATGGAGAAGGCTCTAGCACCCTTAGTTTTTAGCTGTGTCACTAGTAGATGATCTGCCAATTCAAGCATCCTGGATGGGACATACGCCTCAAACCACTCAGACATTTAAAAACTAGCAGCAACATAATATAAAATTAATCCTGAACTTAACAGGAAGCCAGAGAAGGTCTGCCAATATATGGGTGATCATGTTTCCTTTCCTTGTGAGAAGGCGAGCTGCAGCATTTTGAACATTCTGTAGGCAACACACTGACTGAGGCAGGCCAGTGAGGCAATCATGACATGTATAAAGGAAGCAAAAACATCCAGAAGAACATAGAAGCTAATCCTACTGAGCAGCCTCAGCTGGAAGAAACTAGTTTTCACCAATGCACTGATCTGACCTGCAAAGGTTAGACCTGAAGTAAAGATAACGCCCAGATTCCCGACTGTAAGAGAACAGTATGAGGAAAGACCTCAGAGGCTACTGTTTGGGTTAAGCGGTGCAATAGATGACCCAAAGACGATGATCTCAGTCTTTCAATCAGTTTACGAAAGTTTTTTTAAGCCATGCCCGTACGCAAATCGAGAAAGTTCTGTGAGAGACAGCCACTGTTAACAGGTATTGATAAACCTGTAGGTCATCTGCATATGTATGACGAGATCTAATTCTTTCTGAATATACACCCTTATGGCAACATATGTAAGTTAAAAAGCAGCGGACCCAGAACCAAGCCCTGAGGCACCTCAAAGTCTATTTGCGACACAGATGATGAATATTTGCCGAGGTGCACTGAAAACATTCTCAAAGAGAGATATGACTGGAACCATTTGTGAGGAACACCCTTAATCCCAACCCATGATTCAAGAAGAGACACAAGAATCTCATTGTCCACAGTCCACATCAAACGATGTGGATAGATCCAGCAGGATCATCACAGCAGAGTCACCACCATCTACAATCTGCAGTAGGTTATTCAAAACCCAAACTAATGCTGTCTCTATGCTATGGCACGGTCTAAAACCTGACTGGAAGACTTCCTGAACTTCCCTATTCTCAAGGTAGACCTGTTTGTGACCATAGACAACCTTTTCCATTACCTTTGACAAGAAGGGCAACGTAGAGATTGGGTGATGGTTATACAGCAAACAACTCACATAAATCCCCAGAGACTTCCCCTGGGGAGCCAACTCCAGGAGCCAGCAGTGTGTGTGTGTGTGTGTGTGTGTGTGTGTGTGTGTGTGTGTGTGTGTGCGTGCACATGGGAGCGTGGACTGGGCTGGGCCAGATGTGAAAATGTCATAAGTGGATCCGGGCCGGAACATCAACATGCTGGGACCAGCTCCAGGAAACTCCCCAGACCTCAATCCCACTAAGAACCTGAGGTCCGTCCTCCAGAGGCCGCGGGACAAACGCAGTTATGATGAAGAATGAGCTCCATCAGTCAGGATCCGAACCAGAAGCTGGTTGGCAGCAGGTCAGGATGAAGCACAGGGGTCTAGAAGGACCAACTCTGGAAGTATGGACTCATCAGCCCACAGTTCCAACAGAAAACGACAAACATAATTTCATTACAAAATACTTTTGATTTCTTCTTTGACCAAAGTAAAACTAGTGAGCTAACATAAATATTCTTGTCATTTAAAGCCTGGTATGAGTATTGTGCTGAGTTGTTGGTTTTACAGAGCCTTCCTCAGTGTCTGAGCAGACCTAGAGTGAACTGAGGTGAACGTCCTCAATAGAAAGCTGTGTAGACAGATGACCTTCATGCCAGGCCTTGAACCTTCTTGGCCAAGCAAGCAAGCTTTAATCCTCCTCTTGCTGATTATTCCTCATGGCTAGCCAAGCTATTAATTCCTCATTAGAGAAGATTTGTCGCTGCATCACTCAAAACAGGAGGAAACCGTACCAACGGTGACCTTGACACACAAATCTGGACTTCCCATGCAAGTCATCCCAAACAGAAGGAGAAGCTAGTGATGAGTGCTGGGTGTGGAGGCTGCAGCAGAGCCGAGGGCAGGAGGGGTGAAGGGGCACAAGGTGGGGGGGGGGGGGGGGGCAATAGCTGAAAACAAAACCAATAAGCAGAGCCATATGTCCGGAATCCATCTCGGGCATTAAATGGGGGTCTCTTAAGAAATTGTCCGGGTGGGTGGATTAGAGGAAAGCAGCTTAGGGGCCTAATTAGAGTCTGCTGAAGAGAAGACCTTACAGAGTGTGTTTGGGCCTCTTCCAGCTGATCTCACCAGTGGCACTCTGTAAACACGTCACATGTTTACAGGTGAGGGAGGAGGAAACATGCTGATGCAGAGGGGTTAACTCTTATCTTCTGGTGCTGGTGTCCACCTCCAGCAGTCAGCAGGCGAGAGGTGGACAAGTCTCCAGTCCATCCCAGGGACACACGGAGACAAAACCAGTCACACCAGTTAAGCTGCCATGCCTGTTTGTGTTCTGTGGGAGGATCCCAAAACACCAGAGGGAAATAAAACCACTCACTAAGTCCCATGCTTCCTTCTTTTGTTGTTGCTTTAGTGTTTTGGGGTGAATAGTGGGTGACACGGACACGTGTGTGTGAGCTGGATGGAGAGATGTTTCTGTTCAGGGCCAGGTGTGTGTTCAGGTGAGTCCTGCTGTAGTATCTGCTGATGTCATCACTGGTGCCTTTGTAAAACGTCTCACTCGAGGACTCGTCAACGTTTGATGTGGAGAGGCTGAGCTGGATTTTTAAAGCATCATGAACAGTTTCAGTAATCAGACCGATGGCAGGAATAGGGACAAACTAAGGCATTACTGTAGTTTATGAACTGTATGACTGGCTGAGGCATCCGGGGTCGCTGGTGTGTGAGCTTTATACGGACTCTGTTTTCAGCTGGTGGATCTGGATGTTTGTTTCATTTAAGAACACCCATTTTACCTTCAGACCAACTCTGGGACAACAGAAGTAATGTAAACACACACGCTGACCTCTGTAGAGACCCCCTCTGGCTCAGAGTCTCGCTCCAGCCTCGCTGAGGTCTGGCATGTTCCACCTCAGGCCTGCAGCACCTCCTGCTGGTAGTGGCTGTCTATAAACCAGCACACGGACTGCAGCGCTGCATTCCTCCTGTCTTCTGACGGGAGCCAGATGGAGGCTCTGTGCAGGGGCTGAGCTAAATGAAGAGAAGTAAAGGGTGTGAGGGAGGGAGGGAGGGAGGGAGGGAGGAGGGTGCAGCAGGGAGGATGAGGCAGGTGGGCAGGGCTGCCATGTAATCAGTGTCAGCCTGGTACAGAGTGGAGGAGTGAAGGAAGTCAGGGAGAAGACGCTTCATCACTGCTCCTGGTGGAACGTGTCAGCAGTCAGGGATCATGAAGAGGTGGACGCTGCTCCAGCTGCTGCTCCTGGCAGGTACACGGACCGTTTTATTCAGACAACAGGAGGACGTTTGGAGTTCTGGCAGCGACGGCACAAGCAGCTTTAGGCCTTTAAAGGACTTTGGTAATGGAAGCTGACTGCTGCTGCTGCGGCTTAATGTTGGACCTGGTCTGAACCAGGCCTGCTGCATCTAGACAGACACAGGCTGATTGTGTTAGACTGTCATTCATATTCCTGCCGGCCTGATGATCATCTCCACTCATTTCCTTCTGAACTAATCAGGCTGCCGCCGGTTCATCTGTAATCATAAAACTTTACGACATGTCCTGCTTTCCTGCATCAGCAGATCAGCAGATGGTGGATGAGTGGTGTGAGTCTCCTGTGGGTCTGAATGTTGCTTTTTCCTTCTTCAGGTGTGCACTGTGAGGTGGACATCAACGAGTGTGACAGCAGTCCTTGCCAGAATGGTGCCACGTGTGAAGATGCTGCCAACTCCTACAGGTGTCGATGCCCCGTGCCAGCAAGGGGTGAGGAACCCTGGGGTGGACAGGACTGTGACGTGAGGCTGGTTGGCTGCCGGCGGCACCAGTGCCAGCATGAAGGACGCTGCGTTCCGCTCCTCGCCGGGGACAGCGAGCACAGCTACATCTGCTCATGTCTACCTGGCTGGGCAGGAGATCGCTGCAACACCTCCACCACCTTCTCCTTCACCACAGAGGGTTATGTCCACATGCAACTGCCCACCTTCAAGAGCAGGATCATACGAGAGGCTGGCACCAAAAGCCATGGACTCCACGTGCAGCTTCGTTTCAGGAGCACTCTACCAACCATGGTGCTGTTCTACCGAGGCACCATGGGGCGTTTTGTCTCACTCGAGCTTGTTGAAGGATCCCTCCTGGCCAAGGTGAAGTCTGGGAAGATCCTGCAGGCCATTTACCCTGGTTTGGTCAACGATGGAGAATGGTACCAAGTGACTGTGACCATGGATGAGAGGCTGGTTTTGGCAGTTAAAGGACCTGGATGTGAAGATGGGTGTCATGTCAAGAATGAAGGTCAAAACACGCTGCTTTTCCTAAATCAGAACTACTTCCAGCAGCTTTATGTTGGAGGAGCTCCTCAGGAATACTTGGCTCTTTCATCCAGTGGGAAGGGGTTCATTGGCTGCATGGAAGACCTGAAAGTTGACCACAAACTGTTGCTGCCTCAAGACCTCATCAGGGAGGAGAACAAGGGATTGGAACTGGGTTGTTACAAGTACGACTGGTGTCAGGACGACCCGTGTTCCCAGCATGGAGAATGTGTGGACTTGTGGGTTCGGAACAGCTGCAAGTGCCATCGGCCGTACTACGGAGAGCGCTGCGACAAAGGTAAGAGATTTAAAAGATGGTGACTGCCTTCAAAATGAATGAATGGCCTGTTATTTAGTGAATGAGATGTTGTATGTGTGAAGAAATCCACTTTATACACAAAACACCAGGACCCAGGAGAAGTGTCTTCTTTCACACAATCACGCTGACGTAAACTTAGATTCAGATCAAATAAAGACTCTGAAACATCAGCACAGACGACGGAGTTTCAAATCCACACAATAGGCAGTTCAGGCTTGCCTTTAGCGCCCTCTGGTGTCCATTTAGTAGAACCAGAAGCAAAACGTATCTCCTCACTGCGCTCTCTTTTTGACACTTTAATCTAACTGCTGACACGTCTCTCGCCACTCTGAAGTTGCAAGTGCAATATTCTGACCACAGGGGGCGGTGTGGGTCTGGGAAAATTTCATTGACGCTGTAAAGGGTCGCGCTAGCGCGTACTGGCTCAAGAAAATGATTTAAAAATGTGACAAAGGCGCATAGTATGGCTTCAAGGGTCAGGTGAGGATGTTCTGCAGCGGAAGAGGTCCTGCTTCTCGTCCTAGGAGCTTCATTGTGAGCTGGTGTTAGGATCTTTGTTGTCCGAGTCCACATGTGAGGTTTGGAATGCCGTCAAATGGCCCGATCTGGGTTGTATCTCAGAAAATCGATGATCTGATACAAGTGAGTTGGACTGAGAACTCTAGGCTGAGTGTCAGGATTGAGCTGATGTTTCTAAACAAAGCTCTGAACCTGATCGTCAGACAGTAACCCACAGACCACCTGTCAGGTGCACCAGGACAACCAAGACCCTAACAACCTCCAGCTCACCTCACTGAGGCTCTCAGCACTGTTCAAAAGCCTGATGCTTTCCAGGAATCAGCTGTTCTGAGAAACTGGTTCCTGCAGAACAAACAAAAACAACAATAGTGTCAGTATTCTAACAACGAGTCCTTTCCACCCCTACTCAGAATATCAGTCCTGGACCTTCAGCCACGAGAACACCACCAGCTACACCTCCTTCAACATCTCAAAGAGCCACGGAGAAAACTTCACCATTTCCTTTATGATGCGCTCCCTCAAACCCAACGGGCTGCTCCTGCAGTTCCTCCGAGAGGGGAAGTCCTACCTGAGCGTCTACCTGAAGGAGAGCGCCGTCGCCATGTACAGCCCTCACACCACGCTGCTGTCGGAGGCCAAGTCAGTCACAGATGGGGACTACCACCTGGTGACCATCAGAGTCAACTACGGACACGTGGTTTTCCCTAAAGCAGGGAATAACCGAGCCTTAGGAAACGTGAGCGTGGAGACGGGGGATGTGGTTTTGGTCGGAGGGCTCCCTGAAGGCAACAGTGTGAACGCCTGGGGCGGGGGCTTCAAGGGCTGCCTGCAGGACATCCGGCTAGATGACACACAGCTGATGGTTGGAGATGTTTCAGAAGGGCTGGAAGTTTACCGGGGACGCTCGGAGAAGGTTCTGCAGGGTTGTCAGAGCGACAACACATGTAAGGTAACCAGCATCCATCTTCCCTCATCAGACAAGGTGAACCTGAGTCTGCAGGACAGGAAATGATTTGACTTTTGTTATTCTGAATTATGCTTTAATCATCATGCTTTTAAATTAGAACTCATACAAAACATGATTCTTTCCTTTGGGAAAAGAAGTGAAGAAGCATGTGACAGAATGGAATAAGTGGAAGCATGTCTGTGATGTGTGAAAAAGGGTTTCCGGTGCAGCGAGAGCAGCCATGTTGTCTGGTTTAGAGACAGTGTCCATGAGGACAAGACAGGAAGCACAACTGGAGGATGCTGAGCTCAACAAATCCAGTTTCTCTTTGGGAGAGACGAGGATGGATGGGATCGGGAATGAGTCCATCAGAGGGGCAGATCATGCCAGATGATGTGGCGATAAAGTCAGAGAGGACAGACCGAGACGGTTTGGACGTGTCCAAAGGAGAGACATGTCCAGAGGAGACACAATGGTTACAGAGAGGGATGCTGAGGTTGGCAGGAGGCTGAGAGGAGAATTACGGATGTGATGCAAGTCATTTGGTGTGAAGCTAGAGGATGGAGACAAGAGGACAGAATAGATGCACACGATTGGCTGTGGAGACGCCTGAAGGGACACGCCCTAAAAAGAAAATTAGTCATTTTTTAATGTCTTTAATTCTTTTTGTAGAAATTAGCCGTTCCTTAAAGAGTTGCTACATGGCCTGTATTTGATATAGCACCTTCTAGAGTCCTGGAACCCCCCAAGGTGCTTTACAACACAGTCAGTCATTCACACATTCACACACTGGTGGGGATGAGCTACGATGTAGCCACAGCTGCCCTGCGGTGCACTGACAGAGGCGAGGCTGCCGAGCACTGGCGCCACCGGTCCCTCCGACCAGCACCAGCAGGCAACGTGGGTTAAGTATCTTGCCCAAGAACACAACGACAGCAACAGACTGAGCGGGACTCAAACCTGCAACCTTCCGATTACAGGGTGAGCATGTAACCTAGGCAACGCCGGGCGGCAGAGCTCCAGCGTCACACAGGGGTTCACAACGACACAGGTGGGGAGCGAGGGTGCAAAACCAGAGGGACAGAGACACCAGAGAGCAGAAGTTTGCCTGCAACCTCTTTTATTAACTAAATAAAAGCCCGTCTAAAAATATACAACTAAAAGTTTGAGTCCATAAAAACAGTTTAAAACGTTCTTCAAAAAGATCCCAAAAGATAGCTGGGCTCCTCCCAGATCCACAACGTCACGAACAGGATGGGAAAGGCGGCGTCCCGGCTTCAGCGTCCGACTCCAGCAGTCTCTGGTCTCGCTCTCAGCAGGCACTCGTCTCAGGCGTGCTCTCCCGGGGGCTCTCGCCGCTCCTCCCTGACAAGGACAGAACACTGGGGCAGAACTTTTGTCTGTACTGGCGCAGTGCAATCTCTATCTCGTAGGATCGGCCCATACGGCGCGTCACCCAGCATACAACAGAGGAAGCCGTTTACTCACGGATGCAGGCAGAGGTCCAACCTCTGCCCTGCTGTCATTCAAAGGCGTTGCTCCCACTCGTTGTTGCTGCACGCCAGGGATGAACCGGTCCTCCTGCGATCCAACGCGTTCCGTGCTACGTCCACCTATTAGTCCAGTCCCTCTGCCTTCGGGTTTCTTTGGTCTCTTTTTCCTCTCTCCTCCCGCGGTTCTGCAGCTTCGTCCCTTTATCAGCCCGCTAATTATGCGCACCTGGTGCGCTCTCCCAGTCACGCCCACCTCTTCAGGTGACTGAGGCCGGGGACACACTGGCCGCGGAAGCGCCGCGAAGCGCCGCGAAAATGGGACCGCCTTCATTCGGCGCCCTTGTTAAGCTATTCTATAGACCACATGGGCCGCCGAAGCGCCGCGAATCGCCTCGCGCCGGCGCGCGCCGGCGCTCCAGCCCGCGCCGTGCAGCGATCATTTCGGCGTTGGCTCTATTTTTTTCGCGAGCCGCGGGTGAATCGCGTCAATTCTGGCAGGAAGTCAAACGTAGACATAAGAGGCAGGCCGGTAAAGTTAACAAAATAAAGCATTTCAAAATAAAATTCCGCAATAGTCAAATGTGTTCGTAAACAGACACTGCAGAAAAACCACACGAACACGCACACACATACACACACATCGAACTTGTGTGCGTGTGTGACCACGTGAAGGGGGGAGTGGTTTTGGGTGTCTTTTCACCGGAGCAAACAGGACAGAGAGGCAGAATGTCTGAGGCAAGCAGTTAGGATGGATGACTTTAAATTAATTATGGAAGTTGAGAAACACAAGGAGCTGTACGACCCCCGAAAAACATGATTGTTTACGTACCCATGTCGGAAGAAACTGCTAGGATACAGCTGCAGAATTGGAGCGGGTTCCAAGAGATTCAACTGGCAGAAACAACTCATACCATAGGTTCACACACACGCGCGCGCGCACGCGCACAAACACTCAAACGTAGGAAAAGAGCTGAGAAAAGGCAGAGAGGAAATGGAGGACACCAAGTGTTTAAAAGAAAAACTACAGCTGAGCCGAGGCGCGCCTCGACTGGGGCGCGTCTGATCTG